AGTAATAGAGCCGTCGTTCTCTCCTTCCATTTTTGAAATAATTCGACTCTCTCAGTACGATGTTTTGTCCATAATTATTTCAAAAATAAAAGGGGAAAATTGCTAACTTTTCTATCAAGTAATTCTCTAGTATAGTTACAAATATTATAAAAGAGCATGGTATATTAAGAATAGAAAGGATAAAACATCATATAATTCTAACGAGTTATATAATTTTGTACGACATATGTATTTTGTTATTCACACTTCGCCAAGAACTTCTCAAATTTTCTTGGTACCATAATGATAGCTATCGTCATTCATTTTTTTTTTTTTCTAATTTTTTCAGCAATCGGTGAATGTTCATTTTCAAAAATTGAAATACTCGCAATCGGAAAATATTCAGTTCGAAAGACACTTTATTATTAACTTGCATTCATACAGAACTCATACAGAAACCACAACTGATCAGTTTTATAAATTAGAAGAGCAGAGGAATAACAGTGTTACAAATATCATCTACTTAAATTAATCATATACTCAAAGTTTGGAGAAAATGAAGCTGATCAACGTGGTCTCTGAAAGACACAATTACACCACCGAGAAGAGGTCATTTGCCTTACTCCACTCCAATTTTTCATAATCGTATTCAGATTAGAGGACGAGAACGAAGAACCACAAACGATCGGCCTGAAGAATCCATCGTCTCGTTGCCACGGTTTTGTAGACGTTCTCGAAACGTGCGTTAACGCGGATCACCAAGAGCGCCAGTTGAAGATAAAATTCAACGAACTGTTCGAGAAAACGCGATCAACGAAGGAAAAAGAGATGAGAGCAGCGAATGAACGTGCCAATGAAATGCGACGTCTCGTTCTCGAACTGAAGCGTGTATTCCACGTGGACGCGAGTTCCAGACTCTTCGAACTTCCAAATTGGCATCAGACAGAAATAATCGAGGATGAGCTTGAACGAAGCATGACGAATGCACGGCCAGACAAACTCGAGGAAACCAACGACTGCGAGAAGAATTTAATCGAAGACGACATAGGAATAGAGACGAATGATAATGATTTTCGTCAAGAAATGCTCGAAAGGATGATGGACGGTGTACTGGAAGTTCGGTAATTATATTCATCACACTGCAGAAATGAACGACGTATGATCATAAAATGAGAGAGAATTAAGTGTACTACAGAAAGTGACGAAAGAAAGTTTAAATTTGATATTTTGCACGTTTTTTTTTTTAAATTTAATCTTCTTGCACAATAAAATTATTTAACCTCTTACGTATTAATATTTTTCTATTATTTTATATGTGTATATGTACAATTCGATGTGTATCAAATTGAATATAATTGTATTATACATTCATTTTTCTTGTAGATTTTTATTTATAGATGTTTATTAGATTTTTACTTATTCGATGTGACAATGGGATCTAAATTTGAAATCTGTCTCGCGTATCGTAGATTGGAGCACAGCGCGAAGATGAACATTCCAAAACCCGACTGTCTCTCCCGAAAAGAGCCGGCTAACTATACTGAAGAAGACATTCGTACGATTGAGTCATACGAGAAAAAGATTCGCGCTCAAGAAGCCGATCGGCAGAAATACAAGTCGATGCTGGAGGCTGAGATCGAAAGGATCAGTGGTGAGGAAACCTAATATAGACCTAAATTTTAAAGGAACTCTAAAGATATTTATTGCCAAAAATTCCCTTTGTGATCGTATTACAAACTCTGTCTATAAAAATCGACATAAAAACAATATAATTTTCATCTTACATTTTATATGAATTTCTTTTTATATGAATTTCTCCCTCATCGAAATTCATTTTTTAACGCTAGAAGTTACCTTTACCAGCGATTAGAGGATAAAATTAAGACCATCAGAAACATTCAAGCAAAAGACAACACAAGCTTCTAGTTATACATTTTGCGAAAAATCTCTAAAAATAAACGTATTGTTTTACATTCACGAAAACAATAAATTGGTCATTTCGAACACTTTGGTAGCTCTACAGTTGACGAAACAGTCTCGAGTTGTGTTCCAGGAGAGTTCTCGAGCAGCGTGAAATCTTTCGACGACGAGTTGAACGAATTGTCCGGAGAAAAGATAATAGTCGAGCGATCGATACTTTCACAGAGACTATCCAAGGTACAGGCGATCCTGCAGCATCGAAAAATCGTTCGTAAACGACGAGAGATACGACGCGTTATCGAGTCGGAGCTTGTGCCCGCGACGAAGGAGGCGCGCAACCTCGCCGAACAACGCGATTTGTTCGAGATGGGTGTCGCGGAATTGAGAGTCAGCTACGAGAACGCGTGTAAACGTGACAAGCAGCTGGAGACGAAATTTCGGTCGGAGTTCACCGAGGTGAAACCGTCGATCTTGGAAAAATTGTTACGACATTATCGTAAAAGACCGAGATTATTAACTGCACACGGATCCGTGGCGCTCCTCGCCGAACTCGTTGCTTGTGTCACTGAACAACGTGATTCTGACATTTTGCCTAGAGAGTGTTCCAACTATTTGCGAACTCTGGACGAGCTGGATGTGATGCCGGAAGCGTTGACGAGTCAATTAGAATGGAACTGTTGGCGTCTTCTCTGTAATCTTAGGAGGCTCAAGGTGGAAGCGGAAATAAAGGTAAATTTATGATCAGAGATGAAACAAACGCGAACGTAAAGTTGAGTTATACAAATGTGCACAAACATAAGGTATGGTAGAAATTATCACTTTAAAATTGAATATTTATTACTATAAAACATTGAGAAGTTAAATAAAGTATTAAATTTAAATTAAGTCCTAAACGGTTGTACATTGAGCCAATAAAAGTTTGAGATTGAATCGCTTAATTGCCTGTAAAAGTTTATGTTAAATTACTTCGGATGTTCAATTTCACTTTTTCACTCTCTTTGATAGGAATTGAGAATAATTCATAATTGTATCTCTAACAGGAAAATAAAAGAATGAAATCGAATCGAAAATTACAAAATTTAAGTAGTGCAGAACTTAAATTATTATGGCTTCTAACATACTCAATGCACAGTTAGACAAAAAATTAATCAACTTTAAAGATTAAAGATAAAATTTTTCCAGCAATCTTTGGTTTAATTAATGATTACATTTCAGTTGTTTATCATAAATAAGCAGATCAATCGTTAATCGCGATTAAGGATTAGATTCTTGCTCCAATCGTTTCGCCGATTTTTCGACGACTCAGTTGACTCAGTTAATGAAATTAAAAATTTCAATCGGATTAATAAACGTGACTTTATAACGAGGGACAAAAAAAATTTCATTCAAAGGTCAAAAGCTGCGCGATCGAGTTGGCGGAAGCGGAACAGAGCCTGGTGTTCCTGCGAAACGCGTGCTCCATTGGCCGTGAGAAGATCGATCGATGCAAGCAGACGATAGAACGTTTAGAAAAATCGTTCGCGGATCTGACGCAGGATCGGGAGATCGCGTTGCTTTTAAAAATGAATCAAATCTACGTTGAAGCCAAAGGTGATCCACGCACCGATTGGAAGGATGCGGTTTTGACACCGCAAGAAGAACTGGACCGAGCAAATCAGGCGATCGCGAAGGCTGAACGACGAAGATCGCTGGCTGTACGACGAGTGGCTGACATGAAGGAAATCGTGTCGTTCGAAGAGTGGCGTCACGCGTGCGAGAAGAAGAGAATGGAAGATTTGCAAGAGTACGCGAGAGAACTTGATTTCATCAAGGTAGGATTTTTTTTTTTTTTTTTATCCTACATATGCGCTGAACCTGGAGGAAAACTGCTTCATTGCGAATATTGATAGGATCTTTATAAATCTGTCGGTTGATGTAACAGTAAGAGGAAAAAAAATAAAAAGAATTGCTAATGATATACTGACCTTGAAGAATGAAATAAACTGTATCTGAGACTTTAAAGATAAAACTTCAGAAAATTAATAATTCATAAAGGTACTATAGATTTTTATAATATTCAAAATACAAATTTATACAGAATGCACGTGATGTGAAAATGTAATATAAAATATTCTTATCCTTTTTATATGCATCCTCAAAAATATGAATCTGCATAGAGATCAATCTATAAAGATTTTGTTCTAAATTGCACACAAAATCCTTTGTCGCACCGACTATCAAAAATGGAGATAAATAACAACGTTTCACTGAAAACGAAATTATATCTTCAACGATGAGGAAGTTCTCCCGGCAAATCGAAGGAACTCGTTAAAATTAAAAATACCGCATGCTCATTGTTGATTATCAGGTGAGCAGAATCGCGCGTGAATGTTGTCAGCGTTTGACTCGTGAAACATCGTCGTCGAAAGAAGAGGAAGACATGAGTGTCCAAAACATGTTGCAAGTTCAACGTACGGTAAGCGATCTTTCGAAATAAATTCAATCCTTCTTTAGAGATAAAGCTTGATGATAATTTTCATAGATATTACCAAACAATCTAAGACTATATATTAGGGGAAAATAATTCGATTGATTTAATATTGTAATAATTAGACTTCGGATTTTATCGATTTGCGAGAGATTTAGAATTTTTGGAAATTTTTGGACAAAACGAACTTAGGTTTTAAAATCAGACCAATTGGATTGTTAAGTGATTTCTTTTTAAATCAGTTTAAATTATCAACAATTTCTCATTGTTATTAGTTATTAGCTCTTCACTATGTATAATTATGAAATTTAATAACGTTGAAATAACTTTCGATAGATTAGGAGTCAAATGATAGTTATTTCTGAGGGATTAAAATACATGGGAACAAGGCAGAAGTCGAATCGTAACGTTACATTTTGTGTTTTCAGTGGCGTCTTGACGTTGCGAAACGAAAGAGAAGCAATTTGAAACGGATGGAGAAAGAAATTCAAACCTGGCGACGAAGGAACATCGAATCGACGAACGAGATCGATCGATCGTTGATCGAGAAGGAGAATTTAATTATCGCGTCGCGAGATCCTTTACGTTTACGAGTCACAGCTTTTCGAAAGTGCAGATTGCGAGCGATAAGGCGAAAGGCGCGTTTGGCGCGAGAAGTTCGAGACAATTCGGAACAATTGTCTATTCTCGAGACTCGTTTGGAGATTTCCAAGTTGCGAACTTATCCAACATTGAAATTAAAATTTTAATTACCCTTCAGTCGTGTCGCCTTCAGTCAGTGACGTTCTGTTTGCCATTTCGAAATCGAAGAAATGCTGAAGTTCCATTATTTCTATCATGTTTGTTTCTCTTCCTTCAATTGAAAAGAAAACATTCAGTTGTTATTTCATAACAGTCTGTATAATTGTTGTATACACGTGATATGCTTGCGACATTAAGAACATTTTTTCTCGTAAACAGTAACTTTTTGAAGAAAGTGAAAGAATAGAAAATTTTTATGTTTTTTTTTTCTTTATAATACGATGGCGTACTCAAATTTTTTATATTTTTAAATATATTAATAATTATTTATATTACGTTGTGACCTTCAGTTGATATATTTGTTGATCTGTTAATCATAGATATGATTTGACTATCACTTTCATTTCATGAACAATATAAGAAGAATTAAAAATTTTTTCCTCTTTCACTTTTTTCAGAATTTACAATTTACGAAAAAAATCATAATTCACAATACACGGTGAACATCCTATATATTAAAATAGCAATTCAGATAAGACAGTGGCAAGTTAGCTGTCACAACGACATACCTAAAAATAAATAATCTAAACTTAGAAGTAGCATTATAAACTAGCAAAGTTATCTGAGGAAGATAAATAAATTCTACGAAACACGTAAGGAACTTTAATTTAGTATACTTTTTTTATCAGATAGTAAAGAGTATTATTAAAAAGAATAGAATATTGCTAAATATATAATGACTCAAAAAATACTATTTTTAAACGAAATCATAAACTAGAAAGACAAACCATATTCTATATAAATTATTTTTATTAAAATGAACACTACAAAATGATTCTAATATTTCCAAACGTAGCCTTTATTTACTTTTGTTCAAAAATAAAAGATAAGTTGGATCGACTCGAAAAAAGCAGATTTTTATGCATTTATACGAATTTAATTTTAAAGTATAAAATTCCACAAAATACATACTTAATTTTATATATATGAAATATCCAAAATACAATGCTTCTGGTTTTCAAGTTACATTTTGCAAAGATACAAATTTTTGCACAAAAATCCAGTGAAAACAGATAGCACGCTTTGAACACATTGTGCGATAATTTTGCATATCGCGTATATTTTTGCAATTCTCTTTCTTCGCAAGCGTATAAGTCCGCTATTCAGTCCGTTTGTCTTTGTTAAAAATCCCTCTGTAGAATCTCCGTGTATCTTCGTCACGACGAGCACACGATACGGTAAAATCAGATCACGTCGTGCGACAGGGCAACTTCCTGGAAGTTCCCGATGCAAACGAATGGAACAGTCTCGGATTTCCCCGGCCAAGTTTTCCTCCTCTTGCTCACGAAAAGAAAACAGAATTGCCTGCGGACTCAGCGATAACGTGCTGATAATTCGAGAAAGAACAGAGGTCGGGTCAAGGTCGCGTGACCATTATCGAGGCAGATATTTCTCGCTTTTTCGCACCGGAATCGGACGCGAGACGCGTTTCTCGGCAAGAAGAGGTCGCGAAACGATCTCTCGCTGTAACCTTGACGCTAAAATCACGTGTCATTCGCACGCACACCACGTACGCGATCCACCAATCGTCGTGACCGCAATTGCTAGCCATCCTCGATTAGCTTGTCCGGCCGTGTCCTCTCGAAGTACGCACGCCTCGCGAAAACAAGAAAATGAATCTGACCAGGGAACTTAATTCCCAGAGCGAGTGCTACAGGGAATTAAGCGAACAATCAGGTGATTCGAACTCTTTAAGAGAGAGAAACACGAATGCTTTTCGGTGGCTTGGAATATCTTCCCTCCCCATATGCCGATCCTCAAGATTCCGACACGTTTTAAACTAAAAGTCTTTATAAGATCAAAAGTAAATGCTTGAGAATATATATATATATAACTGTATGTTATCGAATGAGTAATGAAAAGGGAGAAGTAAGTGTAGTAATAGGCGTTTGGTTATCAGCTCATGTTTTTGTTGAAATGAAAAACAATTGACAGGCGGGAAAATCGTCGACGCGTTTTATAATCGGTTAAAAGCACTTTTTATCGTTTCACACACACGTAAATATTATTATTACTGTATCTATGTATATTTTTGCATCTTTTTATTCTAAGAGCCGATAAGTGATAATTAATATGTATTTTCTTATTAAACGGAAGTTTACCGCCAAGTTATATTATCACTGAAATATTTTGTATAACGTTAAGTTTACTTGGACGTATTTTTTCCTCACGAAAATCGTTAAAAAAGCAATGAATCGATGAACGCTTCTTGTCAAATCAACAAATTTTTATTCCTGGGATATAAGTTTTTAACAAAGATTAACTAGAATCATGTGTCAGATTAATTCGCTGCCATTTTTAGATCTGCTCTTGAATCATTCCGACAGGTAATTGTTTCATGAGTCACTCGATGTTGTAGAAAAACAAGTTTTTGTTTTTCTTTTTTTGCATTCAATAGTTGTTTCAAGTTTCTTCGAATTCTAAATTGTTATTGAAAACTCTTTAGTTGAAAATGAAAAGAAAGGAATATTGCTTCTTTTAGCAATGCACGCCGTATTTTACAAAAATACTGAATGCACCGAACTGATTTCTTGAAAGAAACTTTGAAATTTAAAATATTTATTTATTTTGTATTTATTCTTTGTTAATGTTAATGAAAGTCGGTTCATTAACAACATCTTCGCTGTTATGCAAATTAATCGAGGTGATTACTCGAAGTGTTTCAGATCCCATTGCGGACCTGTATCGAATTCGCGCGACTCTCCGATACGAAGGAAAAAAAAAAAGAGAAAAAGAGAGACAGACGAAGAAGGAAAAAATAAGAGGAAAAGTATTAGAGCAATGACGAGATCGTCTATCTCCGTCTCGGATCACTCCCTCCAGGTACTACGCGAGAACACGAGACGAGGAAAAGGCGTTCCTATATATAAAGAGCTTCTGACAGCCGACTCGTGAGAATCTCGGCGACAGTTTATCACGAGTCCGAGTTCTTTAACTGTCCAGCATCTTCCTTACGAGATCGAGATCGCGCTTCTCTTCTAACGACGTTTGATTCGCGACAATTCGCGCAGGAATTGACGGGCATAATGTACCGATCTCGAGCCTCGGTCCTCGCGGTTCTCGCGTTCGTCGCGAACGCGGTGCTTCTTGCCTCCGCCGACAGTTCTGGACGAATCTGTAAGTATGCGAACGAGTGTGTGAAATTACGACGAATACAGTATAATCATATAAGTGCAGTATAATATTATACTTGTATAACACGGTCGAAAAATTATTATTGCCCTAGTGTAATAAGATTCAGAAAGAACGCTTCTTAGAAAAATATTTGCAAATAAAGAGCGTGTAAATTTATCAATTAAACACACGTAAATTCCGGAGTTGAAGAGAATTTATTCACTTAATTGAATATTAAAATTTAAAGTTTCAAGAAAATTATTACTTGAAAGAGCAATTATTTATTTTATTGATTTTCAATTGTTCAAATGTAATTAACATAACTAGCCTTTGATACGTATCATAAAATATCCTACATATTATGTAATGATAATAACTAAGATAAATAGTCTAATGACAGAAATAATCGTAGCTAAACAATAAAAAACAGTAAAAAAGAAGAAAGAAAATCTGAAATCCCGTCATATTGATGGTTATTTATTCCCATATATAGTGTTAAACAAAAATATATAGAAATAATGCAGGGAAGGAGACACGTCAATGAAAATCGAAAATTGTCTCAGAGAGATAATCTACGCGAAAACAATGCTTTTTTTATAAATATAACATTTATTCTGATTCGTTGTTACAGTTACAATGTGCGTACCCGAAGTTTATTGGAAAGATTGCGTTGACATGATCAAAGACTCGGCGCTCAAAGGAATTCCAATCTCGTGCATCTCGGGTCGTGACCGATACGAATGCATCGAGAAAGTTGGTAATAAAGAGGCCGACGTGGTAGCTGTCGATCCAGAAGATATGTACCTAACGGCGAAAAAGAACCAATTGGCAACGAAAGCCGGTTATAATCTCGTCGAACAGGTGAGAGGATTTGAATTATTTCACTTTTGTAAACGTAAGTGAGAAATTTTTTTAAAATTCAACGCTATTACAATAGTATGGATATACTTTCATTTGTTGGGACAATTGCGAATAAATAAATAAAATATTAGGGAGTAATATTATAAAATATTATATATATATTATAATATTATTAAAAAAATACTATAAAGTAATAATACTAAATACTAGTAATAATAATGCTAAAAATACTATAAAAAATATTATATATATTATAATATTATTAAAAATATTATAATGTTATTAAAAAAACTTTTATCATACATTTTAAATCATGTTTGAATCTTCACGTAATCTTCTTTACTTTTTTTCTTTGATTTCATATTGGAGGGATAGAACTAGAATTTGATATTCACAGGTGAGAAGGAAGAATACGAATAAAAACCTGAATAAATAAATATTAGAGGGATCTAATATTATTAAAAGAATACATACAGTATTGAGAATATTATCTTAATCTTTGCAACTTTTATCATACATTTTTTAAACCATGTTCGAATCTTCAGATAATCTTCCTTACATCTCTTCTTTGATTTCATATTGGAGGGATAGAACTAGAATTTGATATTCACAGGTGAGAACGAAGGAGGAATACGAATAAAAACCTGAATAAATAAATATTAGAGGGATCTAATATTATTAAAAGAATACATACAGTATTGAGAATATTATCTTAATCTTTGCAACTTTTATCATACATTTTAAATCATGTTCGAATCTTCAGGTAGTCTTCTTTACATTTCTTCTTTGATTTCATATTGGAGGGATAGAACTAGAATTTGACATTCACAGGTGAGAACGAAGGAGGAATACG